GGCGGGGCGGCGACGGCGTCGGGGCGGGGCGGCGATGGCGAGGTGGCGACAGGCGACGGCGCGCGGCGTCGGGAGATCGAGAGGAGGAGGAGAGATCGAAGTTGGGATGCGGTTCTAAAATTTTCCTTATATAGCAAAGTTTTTAGTCCCGGTTGGTGGCACCAATCGGGACCAATAACCCCCTTTAGTCACGGTTGGTACCACCAACCGGGACCAAAGATCACTTTTCAGCATCCCAAAGGGCGGGAACCAGAGGGCTTTGGTCCCGGTTGGTGCCACCAACCGGGACTAAAGGGTGGGTATTGGTCCCGGTTGGAGCCACGAACCGGGACCAATGGTCGTGTGCTGGCACGGTGCGACACGAAAGTTTAGTCCCACCTCGCTAGCTGAGAGGGGCACGCAGTGGTTTATAAGCCCCACTGCCGCACCCCTCTCGAGCTCCTCTCCACTGCAGGCTTACGGGCCTACTTACTACCGCGTTGCCTGATGGGCCTACTGGGCCACCTGCGGGCCTGAATCCTGGCCCATGGTGGGTTTCTAGTCGTATTCAGGCTGTGGGGGCCCAGTAGGAGGCACTTTTTTTCTCTTTACTTATTGTTGCTATTTTTATTTTTTATTTTTCTAGATTTTTTGTTTTGTTTTCTGCATTATTTATTTTCTTTTGTTTTTTTGCTTTATTTTTTAATTCTTTTTGCTTTTAGTATTAGAACAATTTTAAACTTTCTGTTAGTGCCATTAGTTCTCAAATTTGAAAACACTTTTTTTGTTTTTTTGTTTTGTTTCGTGCTTTATTTATTTTATTTTGTTTCTACTTACAACAAAATACTTATTGTTGCTATTTTTATTTTGTTCCCAGATTTTTTTGTTTTGTTTTCTGCATTATTTATTTTCTTTTGTTTTTTTGCTTCATTTTTTAATTCTTTTTGCTTTTAGTTTTAGAAAAATTATAAAATTTCTGTTAGTGCCATTAGTTTTCAAATTTGAATACACTTTTTTGTTTTTTTTGCTTTATTTATTTTATTATTTTTCTAGTTTTTTTGTTTTGTTTTCTGCATTATTTATTTTCTTTTGTTTTCTGCATTAAAGCATTTTAAATGAACTCTAAAAAAGTTGAAAGTTGAAAGTTGGCATGGTATCACGAGGGCCGAACCATAAGACTAAAGAGGGGCATTTGTCCCGTTTGGAGCCACCAACCGGTACCAATGGACCCGTCTAATTACTTATCTACGGTGGTTTCACTAGTGGGGTTTTTTTAGTCCCACCTCGCCAAGCGAGAGGCACTGGCAGCTGTTTATAAGCCCTGAGTGCAGAGACGATGAAGAAGAGGCTCAATGCTCACCTGCACGTTGGTTCGCTTCAAGCCTTGAGGAATAGGGTAGACTGCAAGGAGCTATGTGCAGTGCAGTTTACACTATTCCGAAAGGCTTGAAGCGAATTAACTAGCATTGCGCCTGTTTTTTATTTTTAATGACTTATTACCACACAGAAATAAATAGAAAAAATAAATATAGCAGAAAAGAAAAAAAACTATATAAAAAACTACTCAGAAATAAATAGAAGAAAAAATAGTTGTGATTAACTTTACTAAAATCTTTTTTATTTTTAATGACTTATTACAACTCAGAAATAAATAGAAAAAAATAAATATAGCAGAAAAGAAAAAAAACTATATAAAAAACTACTCATAAATGAGAATGGATGCGCTTATAGAGAAAATTCAACCTAAATTCACAATAAATTTCTGCTAACTTAAGAGAAATTCAGTATGAATTTAGGTCAAATTTCTTGTATAAGGGCATCTATTTTCATTTTGAGAGGAGCTCAACAAGGCAGAGAGGGAGGGGCTTATAAACCGGTGTGAGTCCCCTTCGATTGGCGAGGTGGGACTAAACTCTAGCCGCAACGAGGACCAACACTTTAGTCCCGGTTGGTGGTATGAACCGGGATAAAGGGAAACCTTTGGTCCCGGTTCGTGGCACCAACCGGGACCAATGATGGTGGGTCAGGAGCAAGGCACATTGGTCCCGGTTCGTCCCATCAACCGGGACCAAAAGGTCCAGACGAACCGGGACCAATGGCCCATGTGGCCCGGCCGGCCCCCAGGGCTCACGAACCGGGGCCAATGCCCCTATTGGTCCCGGTTCTGGATTGAACCGGGACTAATGGGCTGACCCGGCCTGGACCGATGCCCCCTTTTCTACTCGTGATAGCACTACCTAGTTGTGTTTCTATCATGTTATTTGCTTCATTTGAACCATTCGGTGTGTTTGAATTTGAATCATTCAGTTTGTAAACTTGAATTTGGTTTGTAAACTATATTCATGATTTGCTTGAACCTTAATTATTATGTTTGGCTTTTATATGTGTGCTGACAAGTAGTTGCAACGTAAACTACAATTAAAATAAGTTGGAGAAAGCAATTTTTTACTCTGTTATATTTAAGGGATCGGCTAGATCCTATGAAAAGTTAGTGGAGTAAATATACTCCACGAAGCTTTATTCGACGGTTTCCTCCTTATTTTTTATGGGATCGGCTAGAGATGCTCTAAGGAGGGCCCCGAGGCTGCGGACCGGGTGGGCCTCCAGCTTCGCCACCCAAGCAAACAAAGCAGACACTGACCAGATCTGAAGCTATCGCTCTTACATCCACGACGGCACCAAGACCACGCACCAGACGAGTCAAGCAACTAGAGATGGCAACCTACAACATCATGGCGATTGGTCGAAGAAAGAAAACCACAAGTGTATTTCATTGCGGTACAAATGGTTAGAATCATAGCCTCATAAGTTGAAGAAAAAGAAGTATTTCATCTGTTCTATAATTCTTGTCATGGTTTTAGTTCACATGGCATCAGGTCCAAGTCCTTCAAACACTGGTCATCAACTTGGAGATTCAGTACACAAACTCGCGAAATCGACAAACAACTCGCAATCTAAATATCTGATCAGCCGACATAACAACCAAGCAACATGCACCCCAGGATCGACGGTTAGCAAGGAGGATGCCATGGCAGACTTCATTATGAAGCTTCTTATTCAACTGTATTTACTCTGAAAATACCTCCCTTGCTGTCAACACCTGCTTTTCTTGACAGTGTGATTCTTTTTTCGCTTTTCTCGGCAGTATGATTCTGACAGGCATAGGACAAGCAATTTCTCATGGCAATGAGTTTGAACAGCCAACGCGTGACCTTTTGGGACGCGTTTGGACAGTCCATGTACGGAGAGACCAAGACTTCGAGTCTATAGGCACCTCTCGTTGGGGCGAGGCCACCTTTCCGGCGAGCACATTCATCTGCTCCTTTGGCTCCGATCCGCAGGTCTGATAATTTCTCCTTAATCTGCAACCCATCCTTCGCTCCAATACCTCCCGACTCCCGTTTCTTCTTACAACATTCCTATTCGTTCAGGCGCCATGGGTTCTGCCAGTTTCTTCTTCGTCGTGCTTGCAGCTGCAGCATTGTGGCTGGCCGTGCAGAGCCTCGACTGTGGTGACTACTCGGATGAAGTTCTGTCGATCAATTACAGCGCCTTCCTGTCAACAGAGTGGATCAATAAAGAACTCTCCCCCTCGGAAGTATTCAGGTACAAGGACGGTACAACCGTGCGCCCCATCCTCCTCCGTTCGACAAGGGTTGGTGGGCGCTTTCATCGGTGGTCTTTTGGCGCAGGGTTCTTCTGCGCCTCCCCCTGCGACCTCTTCGTCTTCTCTGTCTTCATTGTAACCAACTGTGGCCTCTCTGACACTGTATTTGGCACGTCAGAACCACAGATTGTGTGGTCAGCCAACAGGGCTAGCCCTGTCAGGGAGAACGCCACCATTGAGCTTACTACGCATGGCGACCTGGTCCTCCGTGATGCCGACGGGACGAGGGTCTGGTCAAGTGGCACTTCAGGAAAATCCGTGGCTGGCATGGAGATCAGGAAGCACGGCAACCTGGTGATGTTTGATCAGAAGAATGTCATTGTGTGGCAGTCATTTGACCATCCGACTGATTCATTGGTCCCCGGGCAATCACTTATGGAAGGTATGAGGCTCACACCTAATAGATCTGCAACAAATTCGACTAAGAATCAGTTTTATGTGACCGTGCTCGGAGATGGATTATACGGTTATGTCGAATCCACACCACCACAACTCTACTTCTCATATCCACCGATGAAAGATGTTAAAACTGTGAGTGATCCAACAAAGGCTACATTCCAGAATGGCAGCCTTCGTATCATTGTACAGAAGGAGACAGCTGAGTACTTGGCTTTTATTTATTATATCAAGCTGCCAACATCTCAATTCAGTCAGTATATGAGATTAGAGTCTGATGGGCACCTAAGGCTGCATCAATGGTCTGATGATGAAAATCAGTGGCTTGAGTCTGATGTAATGGAGATCTCTCGTCACTGTGATGATTCCCGAAGACCGTGCTGGTCGAATGGGGAGTACATGATGTCTGGTGATTGTGCTTACCCAAAAGTGTGCGGGGAGTACGGGATATGCACAAATGGGCAGTGCACCTGTCCTCATGAGAGTAATACTAATTCAAACTACTTCAAGCCAGTAGATGACCGGAAAGCAAATCTTGGTTGTAAGCCACTAAATCCAATCTCTTGTCAGGACATGCAACATCATGAGCTCTTAATGCTTACAGATGTTTCCTATTTTGATAATAGCCATGCCGTTGTGAATTTAACAAACAGAAATGATTGTAAGCAAGCCTGCTTGAAGAAGTGCTCCTGCAGGGCTGTTATGTTCAGGTATGGCCAGAACGATTCCAATGGTGAATGTTTCTGGGTAACAAAGGTTTTCTCGTTGCAATCAATAAAACCTGAAGCTGCTCATTACAACTCCACTGCTTATCTCAAGGTGCACCTTAGCCCCTCCAGACGTTACAACTCTACTGCATACTCCAACTCCAGTTCTGCTCCCACTCCAAACAAAAGGAAGGTCATTTTAGCAATTACAGTTCCAACAACAAGTATTCTTGTATTACTTCTCATTGTTGCCATTCTTTATCTGCAAAGGAAGAGGAAGTATGAAGACAGCGATGAAGACTCTGAATTTGATAATTTATCATCAGGAATGCCATTGAGGTTTTCTTTTGAGAAGTTGAGAGAATGCACCAAAGGTTTCAGTCAAAAACTCGGGGGAGGTGGATTCGGTTCTGTTTTTGAAGGGAAACTGGATGAAGAGAGAGTTGCAGTGAAACGTTTGGAAGGTGCTAGACAAGGAAAGAAAGAATTCTTGGCCGAGGTTGAAACTATTGGCAGCATTGAACACATCAATCTTATCAAGCTTATTGGCTTCTGTGTAGAGAAATCTCAGAGGCTTCTGGTATATGAATATATGTCGAGAGGGTCACTTGATAGGTGGATCTACAACTGTCATAATAATGCCCCTTTTGATTGGTGCACCCGATGTAGGATTATTCTAGATATTGCCAAGGGCCTATGTTATCTTCATGAAGGGTGCAGGCGAAAAATCGCTCATTTGGACATCAAACCACAAAACATTCTTTTAGACGAGAACTTCAGTGCCAAAGTGGCTGATTTTGGACTATCTAAGTTAATAGACAGGGATCAAAGCAAGGTAGTGACAATGATGAGAGGAACACCTGGGTATCTGGCGCCTGAATGGTTAACATCGCAAATCACTGAAAAAGTCGATGTGTACAGCTTTGGAGTTGTTATCTTGGAAATAATAAGTGGAAGAAAAAGTATTGACCATTCTCGGCCCGAGGAGAATGTTCATATTATTTATTTATTACAAGAAAAGGCTCGAAACAATCAGTGGATTGATCTGATCGAAAATAATAGTGATGATATGGTCTCACGCCAGGAGGAAGTGATTCAAATGATGAAACTTGCAATGTGGTGCCTGCAGAATGACAGCAGCCATAGGCCTTCCATGTCAACGGTGATCAAGGTGTTGGAAGGTACTATAAGCGTTGAAGCTGACATAATTCAGAGCTTTCTCAATGCAAACTCTGCCATGTCTGTTCAAGATAAGCCATACCCATATTCGGTTCGTGAAGCATCTATCTTATCTGGCCCACGGTGAAAAAGGAGGTGCAGCCAAGAAATTCCACACTGCAGAATTCGATTTTTGCAACTGATCTTTATCGTATCCTACAATATTTGTGCATTGGAAGCATGTTTTAAATGGCAGCAAATAAATAATTGCTGGCCAGTATGTTAAGTGAAGTTGTATCTCATAATGAGGCAGGTTTACCATGGAACCGTAAGTGAGTAGTATAAGTGAAGTCTGTTGGGTGATTTTTTTACCAGCTCTTTTAGGTGATTTTCCAGGGTATTATAAACATGTTTATTCAAAAATTGTTTTTTGGGTAATTTCAATATTTACATTAAACTAATTTTGATATGCCATGGCATCATATTGACGTAAGCAGGTGAGTAATTTCGTCTCTTTTGCAGTTGTATGATCCCCACAACCAAATTGGCATGGGCTAAACCGTCTATCAGCACCCAATCACTATTTCTCTTCTTGGATGGTGAAACAGGAAAATTAGACTGTCTTTTGACAGGACCAAGACACATGTTATGTGATGGTTAATATTCCTATTGATTCTTTTAATGAGTTTCACCATTAAAGATCTTCTAAACTATTACTTCAAATCAGTGTAAGGAAAAAAAATACTAGACAATTGTGTAGTTGTCCATACAAAAAAAACATGTTTTGACAGTAAGAGACAGTACTAAAAGGAAGTAAATTGAAGTTGAGAGGAAGATAATAAAATTGGCAGTTACCATACCTCGAAAATGATTTTTTTCTGAGAACCAGAAAAGAGCGGGAAGGATCCATATTATCTGAGGTTGCACCTTCACCTTTAACATAATAATTTTCATGATGAGTAATGACTGTAGCCTCGTTTTCCCCCAATGGTGTAGAACTGTCCAGAGCCGTTGTTTGGTTGTCTGAAACAGGCAGATTTGTGCCTGCTATTAACATTGAAAAGTATATTTAAATTTTGAATCATTAAAACTGCAAGACATAGAAAAAGGCCAAACAACAATCTGATGACCACGCAGAAAACTTTAACCTCCAAAGTTTAGATTGGAAATGTTTACATTCACAAACGATTTCAAGAAAAGAAAAGAGGGCAATAACTAGCATGTGTGGAACCATCACAAAATTGCTTCCTTACCACGGTCCGATTCCGACATGACTAAATCTTCTGGATATGAAAGGGTAAGGAATATCATTCAGGGATCAAATTGACGGTGGAAGGGGGTCGCCGGAGGGAGGTGTGCTCGCTGCCGTAGGGTTTCGGACTGACTGATGCTGCTCGCTATGGCTTTGTATGGACATGCTCGTATGGGGCCGGGCCCTGTCCCTCCAGTGCTAAGTGCGGGGATTTTTTTTTCCCGACGAAAGAAGCTCAAGTCTCGCCATTAGCACCCTTTTGAAGTTTCGAATATGACTAGGACAGGTTTAAATGAGTGCGGATTTTTGGAGGCTGAACTCCAGTGAACTTGGTACTTTGGAAATATAAAAAAGCATATTTAGAAGTTCCCAAAAATCTGAAAAACAAATCCATGGAAATATACGTGTATTCCGCAAGAATGTGTTAAATTTCATCAAAAAATGTTGTGATTTGTAGGCTGTACAAAAAAACATAATTCCGGCCCAATAACAAAATAAAAGGCCCGTTTAAAAATGCTGGCGACGCGGCTGGCGTGACCTCCGTTGCAGTTTACAAGTCCTGCGCGTATATCTAGGTTGCCAATTTTATCACCCTAATATAAACTATATAACACAAAAATTATACCTTTTGAAAGTAGAAACTCCATGGTTTATGTTGGTATATTTTTTGTAATATATGACTTGTATTAGGTTGGTTAAATTGAAGACCTAGGGGTACGCGCACGTCCTATAAACTGAGAGAGAGGTAGTAAGTCGTTTGACTGGGCTCTTGACCCTCATGAGTTGCTCCCCTCTACCGCCCCAAGTTACATTTTTGGTCGATGAGCTCCGCTGGTGGCTTGTCGAGCAATTGACGAAGATTTCTCAAGTAGCCATGCCCTGTCCATGATGGTCATCCGCTTAGCCCTCTCCAGGTTATAAATAAATCTCATTCTCTTCTTTCCTCGTGCTGATTTTTCGTTATGATTTTTGCTATGTTTGTCCGGCTGAGGAATCACGAGGTTGTTCATGTCCAACAGAACTGAAGCATGTTTTAATATATATTACTTGATTCTTATCTATGATCACTGCGTTTCAGATCAACGACGCTTTATTCATTGGTTGATGTTGAGTATATGTGTTATGTACATATTATGTATTGGATCCGTTTTCTAGTTCCTTGTATAGTTGAGGTCAGTGGCCCATCTGTGTACATCATATATATGTGTATATGCACGAATAGCAATACATCGTGCAATTCCAACAACATAAATGATATCAGTTTTCGGGTTCTAACCCTAGTCTTCCGCCGCCGCCCAGCCGCCGCCGCTCGCGCGCCCTCCGCGCCGGCCGCCGCTCCTCCCTCTTCCTGCCCGCGCTACCTCAGCCCGCAAGCCGCGTCGCCCGCCACCTCTTCCTGCTGCGTGCCGCCCGAGCCGCTAGCTGTGCCCGATCCCGCTCGCCCAGCTTCTCCCGATCGCTACCTCGCGTCGCCGCTTCGCTCCTTCACGCCAGCCCCGCGCGCCATCTCCACTCCAGCCGCCACCCCGATCCCGCGTCGCTGCTTCACTCCATCACGCCAGCCGCGTCGCCAGCATCGCCCGCCATCTGCGTAGACGTCAGCCGCCGCGCGACGCACTGCCCGCCAGCTGCATCTCCCGCTAACCCGCGCCAGCTGTATCTCCCGCGCCGTCGCCCACGCCCGATCACACGAGCCATCCGGTCCAGTGTGCATGTGTGTGTTTCGCCAGCGGCGTGTACGTACGTGCATGCATGTACTAGTTACCTGGCTAGCTACGTACGGAAGAATCGATCCAGCTACGTGTGTGCTTGCTTATTGGCTACGTGTGTATCTTCAGGAAGAAGCCAGCTTATACGTGCGTGTGATCGACGGCCGAAAGCACAGGTCGCCTGCTCCGTCCCGGCCGCACGTCGCTATTGCCTGCTGCTGCCGCCCAACGGCGCCGATCGCCGCCATCGGACCAGCAATGGCGTCACCAGGCCCGTCCGCCGCCGCCTCTGTCGTCCCACCGCCGGTGTCCTACAGAGTGGCCCCGCCGCCATACGGGGCGGCCGTCACCTACGACACGCCCGTTCCCACGTACGGGTCTCCGCCTGTGTACGGGGCTCCGCTCGCGTACGAGCCTCCCGGGTACTGGTGGGGTCGTCAGCGGGCCAGCACTAGTCCGCTGGGCAGCAGCCAGACGGCGCCCAGCACCGGCAGCATCTATCAGCGGGCCCGTGGGCTTTTTCGGCAGGCCATCCGGCCTACCCGGCACCGCAATTGCAGCCGGGGCTGTATGGAGCGTACCCACCGTCGGCGCCCTGGAACCCGGTGCTCCTCACCGGGCTGCATGCCGCTCCTACGCCGAACAACTACACTGGAGGTGGTGATTGGTACATGGACACCGGTGCTACTGCTCACATGTTTGCTCACCCTGATAACCGTGCCTCCTTGACTCCTATCTCCACCGACCGCCGCATCATTGTCGACGACGGTTCCACACTTCCTATCACACATGTAGGGCACACTTCTTTTCCTTCTACTTTTACTCCATTATCTTTGTCTAAACATACTTGTGTCACCTCATCTTATTAAGAATCTCATTTCCGTTCGTTGTTTCACTCGTGAAAATCCTGTTACCGTTGAATTTGACGAGCTTAGTTTTTGTGTCAAAGACGCTCGAACCAGGATGGTACTTCACCGATGTGACAGCCCCGACGAGCTCTATCCGGTGCACTCGCCTTCATCCACCACCACGGCACCGGTTGCTCTCTCCGTCGGCGTTGATCTCTGGCACGCTCTCTTGGGTCATCCCAACCCCGTCACACTTCGTCATATTCTTAAGAGTTTCAGCTTCAGTTTCAGTTGCAAGAAGATTGAGGATCACACTTGTCATGCGTGCTGCTATATGATGAATTGCTATGAGTTGCTGCTGCTATATGATAAGTTGCTATGAGCTGCTGCTCCTGCTATATGATGAATTGCTATGAGCTGCTGCTGCTGCTATATGATGAGTTGATATAAGCTGCTCCTGTTGCTGTTATATGATGAATTGCTATGAGCTGCTCCTGCTGCTGTTATATGATCAATTGCTATGAGCTGCTCCTGGTGCTGTTATATGATGAATTGCTATGAGCTGCTGCTGGTATATGATGAATTGCAGACTGCTGCTGCTGTATGATGAGTTGCTATGAGCTGCTGCTGCTGCTATATGATGCTTTCAGGTGGTGCTGCTATATGATAATAACCAGCCACTTGGACCATCGAATTTCAATAAATAATTGTTCTTTATTTAAATGTGGGCCATGCATTCTTCGTTTAAATTAGGCAATGGGATCTCTGTGGAAAACATTGACCAAAGTAGATTGTGCCAAGTAGATGGTATCTTTGTATTTGCATTTTGAGCAAATAGTGATGGTATGTTTTCCCATCATATTAATTACTGTACTGGGTTCAATTTGTAATGTTTGCAAGTCAAAATAATTTTCATATGGGCAGCAAAATGAAAAAAATATAATGCAATCTAGACTTTCCACTGATCATACCAAAGATAAGCTGAAAACGCAATGAAAAGAACTGGTTGGCTTATTACATGGAGCTTATATTCACAGGTGCTTATTTTCTTAGGATAACTCGTAATAACTGTCCCTAAGAAACTTGGCTAATAGAACTGGCATACAAATAAATGCAATGGAGAAGTGACGTACCATAGCACACTGTATAGGCTCACCGCTGCCTCTCCTTTTTTGCGATGTTCCATGAAATTGCCATATACATGTTGTACTTTTTCATTGTGTAACCCTATCTGCAAGTTGACACGGCTAATTTCAGACATCTCTACATGATACTACATTGCATATCCCTTGCGCATATTTAAACCACCAATTAACGATAATGTGTGTACCATAAACTA